TCGAGCATTACCCGCCTTGATGGTCTATCTGTTAGGGTCATTGGTTTTGTTTCGCTACCACTCTCCCACCTTGAGCCTGATGACCTATCCCACCTTGAGCCTGATGACCTATCCCACCTTGAGCCTGATGACCTATCCCACCTTCATGTGTGACTGCCCTTAGGAGTTTCGATTCTTAGGCTGCATTCACCCCCTCTGAGACCATCCCACTTTTAGTGGTTCAGCGACATGACATTATCTTGTGACATGTTGCTCTTCTCCTTTCAGCACTGAGGCCACTGCCTCCAAGACTTTAGGAGTGTATCATACTACATTTCATTTTCTGCTGTTAGCTAGGATATGTATACCAGACATTTGCTTTTCTTTTGACATTATATAGCTTAGGATGCATCGCATGGACTCTGCATAGAGCTTGCTCCGCATCCTAGATTTCTCAGTTTTCTTTATTGCAGAGTTCCGCTGCTTTTGCGGATAGCGTGTTTATGGCTCTTGCGTTCCATTACAGGTCTGAGGATCATGCAGCGGGCCTTCATCTGCCCTGGCTCACAGCCAGGGCCTATTTGGCTATTTGCCAGTCCGGCCTGTGGGACCAGGCCGTGGCCAGACCCCACAGGTCGTGCGGTTATTCAGTGCAGTCTAGTCCTGCCCGATACCACTGTCGGTACCAGGCGAGTCCAGTCCAGTCCAGTCAGTCCGCTGGGGGTATACCCCAACTGCAGTCTGTTTTGTGGCTCATTCTTCATTTGCACAGATTGGAGTACGTGCGTGTTGAGTCTGCGTTGGAGCTGCGCTGTCCCTTCCAGCTCCATCTCCATCTCCCCCATCCTCATCCCTTCGTCTTGATCCTGACGGACCGCCATCCCGGCGGGTCCGTCACAGGCGTACCCGCTCACTCCTACTATCCACGGATCGCTACACTACCTCTCCGTTGATAAAACGTAATCTACTAAGCGGTTATTCTCTCCAGATGTCGATGATCTCACGATATCTAACTCTTCGTCTAGTTCGCAGTACCAACAATGTTGTTTCGATCTTAACTAACAAACTCATTAGCATGTCATACAGTGAGGTGCGCAGATTCTCATTCTCAACGAAGCCAATAATGAAATGCATAGGTTCCACCGTGTTTCTCACATAGTCCTCTAATGCCTGAATCAGCCTAGTTCTGACTGTGACTCGCCTCCTAATGTGTGTAAACCTAACCTCTGGATCTCCCGACATTTTCAGCACGCGGCTCCCACCAGAATTATCCCAATCCCCAAGAGTATAACCCCGATCCCAAATAGTACGATTTGGATCGCCTTACCTTCACGTCTCATATTGATCTCTCCAAATCTCGTTTCGTGTTTATCTCCCTTCCACTTTAGGCCGTTCTAGCGTCCCGATTTCGTCACCCCGTCACTTATGCCCCATATGAATGTGCTCTTCACCTGCATCGCCGCGGACACAGTGCACAGCAGCTCTCAGTGACCTGTCGACGTAGCCACCATGCAGCGCGTGCCAGCTAGCGGTTACTACGAGCCCTCGAGATGGCAGACTGCGGCTAGAACAGTCTGAGCAGCACATGCAAGCTCACAAAAGCAATCAAAACACAAGTTCCAAAAACCGATGTGAGTGACAGATAACTGCAAAAGAGCAACAGGTGGTATCCCCCAACCGGTTTCACCCGCCCACACGGGATCATCAGGAGGGTGATGTGGCAGAGTCTTCGTGCTCGCAAAAGGGGGGCTCAAGCCTTGCCTCCCGATATATATATATTGTTGCTATCCACTACCTGAATCTCTCCTCGTCTCGATCAGAGCGAAAAACCCTCTCTTCTTCCGAGAGGTAAGAACAACAAAATTGCAAAACCCCTTAAACCCGCCGGTCAAGATTGGCCGAGGCGTTTCGTCAAGCATCTATTCTTGTCTCCTAGTCTGTTCTGGTCCTACTAACGTCTGTCAACCCTTACAAACACAATCCGTCGAAGAATGCAAAAAGTCCGAAAAACTCGCAAAACCCAAATATTCAAAACCAGAATATCCAAAAAACCCCAAAATTAGTTCATGTCGCTACGTGGGGCCTAAGGGTCCCCAAGAACTCGATCCTATTCGCTATTTGACAGTTCGAAGTCCCGTACCCCCGCACATTTCTAAGTCGGTCCGAAGCTTAAAACCGACGAGGGGTCTGAAGATGACCATCGGGGTCTTCGCTCCATTGTCTCAGATACGGTGCCGATCGCATGTAGCTCCTTCTGAAGGGTCGAAGCCTGCTAAGCCTGGTGAGTCCAGCTAGCTGACCCCCTTTTTCCTGCTCTTGGCCCATGCTGCCGTAAAGGAGAAGGCATGAAGCAGACTTTTCAGTGCTCGATTGGGCACAACCTTGGCTAAATTAGCCA